AGGCTAGGTGGGGTCCAAAACTCATAAAAGACAAGGCACCAATATCTTATTATTTGCACTGCTATGGAAATAGACTAAATCTTGTACTCGTTGAAACAGTTAAGGTTGTACCACAAGCTGAAAATTTCTTTTCCCTACTTGAACAATTTTACATTTTCGTTTGCAATTCCGTTGTCCATAAACGCTTTATTTCGCTGCAAAACGAAATGCATCCTGGAGAGAAAATTCGCGAACTCCAAAACCTTAGCGAGATCAGATGGTGGGCAAAAGCAAAGTCCTGCAGCAACCCTTTACTTCGTTTTGAATGTATCATGAGACTTCTGTGACAGGTCTCATATGAAGATAAAGGTGCACGTGCAACGACCGCGAGGGGTTTACTTAGCCAGATGGATTTTGAGTTTCTGCTGCTTCTACATTTCTTTGCAGACATCTTATCTAAGGTGAATAAAGTTTCTGAGCAGATACAAAATCCAAAATTAGATTTGGCTAAGCAAGAGTTAGAATGTCGAAGGAATTCAGATGTGGTCTACAGCGAAGATGTTGAGAAATTATGCATAAAATTGCCTTACAGATTTTGCAGTAACTGGTGCCATTGGGAAGTCAGCAACTGTAAATCCAGAGAAACCGTTCCATACTGATATCTTTCTTCCAATCCTGGATTGTATGCTGTCAGAGCTGGATAGAAGATTTTCCTGTGATTCAAAAGAAATCTTGTGAGGAATCTCGGCACTTTCACCCACATATGAAAGCTTTTTAGAATACCAAGCATTAAAGGAAACGGCATTGAGGTTCCAATTATGTTATGATCGCTTGGTCCATGAGATTCCTTTGGTAAAGAGATTTGTTGGCGATAAGTGCAAAACGGTTTTAGAGTTTCTTTTAGAAATTTGCCCCTACAAGCAAGCATTCGATTGCATGTATAATTTATTGTTGATTTCGGTAAAGTTGCCTGTAACCATTGCGTCGTCCGAAAGAAACTTCTCAAAAATGAAAATTGTCAAAACATTTTAGAGAAATTCAATGTGTCACGACCGTCTGAGTCATCTAGCACTTCTGTCCATTGAATCCATTCGAGCTGAGTCAATAGATGAGTTTGACTCACGACATGAAAATCGCCGTATCAAATTACACTAAACCAGATTTGGAAAGACAATTCAGACAATTTTATAAAACAATTTTTTCTTACTTGTAACAGATTATTTTTGTTGCTTATAAACGTTGTTGTTGATGAAAAGAACAAGCGTTTTCTGTGAGACTCTCCTTGCCTTATCTGCAGTTGTCTTTTGCTTGATTAAAATAATATGAATTGCTCGGGTATTCTCTCTAAACTGCTGCATGCATTATTTCTTCGATAAATTTTTCGAAACAAGAAGATTTAGATCACCTTTAAAGTAAGGCATTATTTTATAAATCCCAGGATTTTCTGAGATGGCCCCCCCCCAGTTTTCTCAGGCTAGAATCGCCCCTGCGGACACTTCCAATTAGCGGACAACTTGCTCTTACCCCAATGGTGTCCGCTAATTGGAGAGAATACTGTATACGATTTCACAAGGGCGGCAACTTTTCATTATGGCGGATTTCGCAGTAAACAAAGTCAAGAGTCTTTCGGTGCCCTGTGGTCTCATTGCAAGATTCATCAAATCCGGGGGACAGCCTACCCTGCCTTTTTTCCTTCTTGCACACTTAATGTATAAGCCTCAAGTTCTAGTTTAGAGATTAGATCAGGGTCGGATTGGAAACGTCTTGACTTGTGTGCCCTCCCGATCTAGCGTCAGGTCGAAGCGGGTCTTGGGCATCGCGCGCGCATACACAACAAATTATGGCGACGAGGTATCTAAAGAGCCCAAAGAAGGATTAGAAAGTATTAATTTCGACAAGAAATACGAAATATGCCAGACAACGAGAATCAAATGGACAAAGCGCTACAACGTCCACCATCATCGATTCAGTTACCTCCGGTTGAGTAATTTGGTCCAAAAAGAGACCGATCTACGGTAAGTCAAAGGTGACAGAAATAGAAAAAAACGTTTGTTTTTTTTCTGAATGCAACTGTATAAAATTGAGTTCAGCCTCGTTTTAACCTTCTGTGTTATTCCTATCCTTTTTTTGATGTTTTTTCTGTTCTGTTGGGCCCTGGCCGCTATAGGGAGGACAAGAGCTGGATATTTGACACTTTAGTCTGAGATTCTGAACGAAGGGGAAAGTCGTTTAGAAGAAAGAAGAATATTCTAGCGGAAGAAGAAGAAATTCCGACGTTATACTCAAAGAACGATAAGAAAAACATTCGACTATGAAGAACATAGAGGTGAAATTGTCGACGTCGTAAATATTTTATTGTATTCTTTCTTTTGTTGGGTTTAGTTTTGCCTTATTCGTTGTTTATTATATTCGCCTTAATCTTACTCAATTTAACTATACAATCCTATTCTTCATCTGAATCTTCATTGCGGGGTCATAGCACAGTGTTGACCCCGCAACGATTGGGTCAACAAATCAGTGTGGCGGGGTCATAGCACATGCGCATTAATAACAGTAATCACACAGCTTCTTGAACTTCCTGCCAGGGCTTCAAGTGATAATGCGCATGTGCAATGACCCCGAAACGGGGGCTAGTACATGTCCGGAAGATGGAAATGATTCATCTCCCGAACTAAAACGGACTACCATTCAGGGGTCATTTTCAACAGTTTAGCCTTGGCCCTCAATGACCTTGGCTGGACCCCCTGCCAGAACTTAATGGAGATGAAAACGGAACAATTACCTGATTGGCACTCTATTTTTCTAAAGGAGAAACTTTTTCACCGGGCCTGTTAAACAGGGGCATTCCTTGGCGTAAGATGTGAAACGTTTGGATGCTAATTCTATGTATATTTATCAGATGGGCGCAAGAAGAGATTGCAACAAGTCCCCGGCCGCCATAGTTATAAAAATACGGACAAATTCTAGATTCAAAATGATAACTTTGTGACTGACGAATTTAACCAATTCAACTATCCAATCTTTAGAGATGCTAATATCGCACCTATTGTAAGAAAAATCTAATGAGGTGAAAATATATTTATACCTCGTTGGCATAAGTCTAACTAAATGCTGATGCTGAGCATAGGGGAAAAATGTACTTGCCATGCGCGCGATGAATCACAGGGGTTACAGAAAATGTCAACACTGCTTACGCAACATCTCAGGACGAATACACCACATTGTTTTGAATGATTAAAGATTTGTCGATGGATCGACATAGGCAGCACAAAAGTTGTATGGTTGTTCTAGCAACAAATGTAACTAGTTCTATTGCCATAACATAGGTGACACTTTAAAAAATAGGCATTAAGTGTGCCTCGATAAAAAATGTAATTAAAACTGATGCAAATTCCAACCTGCATTTCCATACAAAATGCATTTCCATACAAGAAAATATTTTCACACACCACAAAAGAATAAAATAAAATACATAATTTAGATGCAACAAGCAGAAAAGGGCGAAAACACGCCAACCTTTAGAAAGTGGAGGACATTTTGCAACCAAAGTTTGAAGAATCCAGGAAAATGTACACGTTTTCCCCATCATAGGCGTAAACTAAGGGGGGGGCTCTGGGGCTTCAGCCCCTCCTGACAAAAACCAAGGGGGGGGGGGCTGAGCCCCCCTGGAAAATAAGAAAGTGCTTTACCAATTTTAAGATTAGTTTGTTATATTATTGGTTTCACGCATAAGATTTGTTGCATTACATAATTGAGTTTACAGCAAAATAAATCTCAACCTAAAGAAACTTTCAATCATTTCATTTGTGTGTTTTCTCTTCCTCGATAATGAAAAATGCACGGAAAAATTAACCTTTAAGCCCTTAGTTAATCCACTTTCTATCCTGTGACATCAGCAGCCGCCATTAAAGATTGTCATTAATTTTTTGTGCCCACCCCCTCCCCCTGAAAAAATGCAAGTACACGCCTATGTTCCCCATTAAGGATAGGAAATGATACGTCCAAAAGCTGTTTTGTTAGGCAATGAAAATCACTTGAAAATTGTCAATCCTAGACACTAGAGTGGTACAATCCTTTAAAAAAAAATTGCCAGAGAAGAGGTTCCGAAGAAGACATCTCCCTTGACCGAAGATAAATGAAAATGCAACTTGTGCTAAACACGTGCACTACACAACATGTCTTCAGAGACCATTCCAACAACCACTGAACAAAATCTTCAAAATTTTACACTTGGCTTTAAATTGACTTTCCAAAACGAGGAAGCCACTCAATGCTATGCTATTATAAAGTTAAAAATTAGTGATTGAGAAATAAGAGCCCAAAGTTTCAAATGCAAACCTTTGAATCAGTCTAAAATTTAGATTAGCCAAGTAATTTTGTAATCGATAAGAAATGGTTTTAAAGAAATTGTCGTGATAAAAACCTTAACCTACAGAAAAATCTATATTTTGCTACAAAAGGAAACTATTGTCAAAATAATTGCCAAGCATCAAGGTTTTCCCTGGTTATTATCATTTCTTTTGAATGTATTGCCTTTTCATGTAAAATGGAGAAAACTGGCCGTTACTTTTGATTATAAATGTGACTTCGTGGTCGATAAGGAAAATGAAAGAGTTGAATTGTCGCGAGACAAACTGAAACCTACAGAAAAATCTAGATTTTGCTACAACACGAAACTATTGCCAAAATAACTGCCAAGCATCAAGGTTTCCCTGGTTATTAACATTTTTTTTAATGTATTGCCTTTTCATGTAAAATGGAGAAAACTGGCCGTTACTTTTGATTATAAATGTGACTTCGTGGTCGATAAGGAATATGAAAGAGTTGAATTGTTGTGAGAAAAACTGTAACCTACAGAAAAATCTAGATTTTGCTACAACACGAAACTATTGCCAAAATAATTGCCAAGCATCAAGGTTTTCCCTGGTTATTATCATTTCTTTTGAATGTATGCTATGCTGTCAAATCGTTCATAGCATCGAGGCACCGCCGAAACGAGTTGCTACACCCGCTGACACGTTGTTCTGCAGGCACCATTGCCACATTGATAATGATGACGGTCAATATGAATGATGTAGGTACATCGGGAGAAACCCAAAAGGAAAATTGTTATGTTTTCAAAGTTTGAAGCTTCGATATAGATGCAGGTTTGCATCTGGTATTCACTAACGTTTGCAAATTCTCCTAGGGAGGAGTACCGGTTGCCGTATTGCGGCGAGAATTTGGTCGTATTTCATTTGAAATACAAGATTACTGGGCGAAATGGTGTTGAGGAATGGTGTTTATATTGTTCAAGGAGAGCTAAATCATGTCGTTGCTGCACTAAGACGAAGTAACAGATGGTCAGGAGGTCATTATCATCAGGTGAAATTTTTATAAGATTTTGTAGTTGAACTATACCTGTACAGTTTACCTATACAGTTTACCTATACCGACCGTTGATACCATATAGGCCATAGCTCCTCATTTTCAATAAAATAAACAATTATAATTTTGTATAATTTTAGAGCCAGTGCAATTTTGATTACCAATAAGTGTTCTTGTAAAGTAGTCCTTTTTATTATGTCAAGTTAAATTTTATTTGTAAAATATCCAGAAGAACCAGAAATGATTCATTCATAAAGTTATCTTTTGGTTTAATTAAGTTAAGGTTTTATGAAGCAAATAAGCCTAACGTAATCAGGTAGTAAAACATTTTGTAGAATTACACAGGAGACAAATAATAATTGCACATCATTTAAATATTCAATTTCTTTGAGTCTTTTGGAATGTTCAGTGTTAATTGAAATAGTATCACTATCAGAAGATTCAGCAATGAAATGTTTAACATTGTCTCTTGTATGGTTGAAGTTAATATATTTTATGATATGTATAGCTAAAGATTGTTGCTTGTATGTCTAAGTTTGCAAAATTTGATATATGCTACAAACTGATCCTAAAGACCCTGGGGAAAAACCTGTGTATAATGCTGGAGATTCCAGCATGGGCATGTCCCCCAAGGTTGTTTACTGGCATAAGACTTGGCCTGTTTTGATTTCTTTACCAAAGTTAATATTTCTGTTTCACAACTGCTTGAGTACTTGGCTTAAAGCCTCATATCTGCTGGCCAACTACTGATAAAGTGTAACCATTAATTCATCACTGTGGAAGGTATTTCATTGAAGTCATGATTTAATGCCAACCATTTTATTTTTCTATGCCAAAAAAGAATCAAGTACTCTCCAATAAACCAAAAATAATCATGAATAAGTAGGTACTCAGACATGGGACATGACTACATTCACAAGTCTTTAGGCCAATGTACACTTATGTGATAAAAGTATTAGGATGATGAATAACAAAATGGCAGCTCCAAAACTAGCATTCTAGCATTGATTGAACTAATCTTGCTGTTTTGATGGGATTCTAGAAATGGTATCAGCAAAAACACAATTCCTGACAAATTCAATTTATTTCCTACCTTTCTATGATAGAAAAGTGACAAAAAGGTCAGGGAGAAATTGAAAATATCAATGTTTCAGTTTACATACCGAAAACACATAAACGACCATAAGAAGCAATAAAATACTTGGGTCTAGCGAGTCATTTCTTTGCTGAAACTTCAAGAACGTTTAGTTGCAGCAAGTCTACAACACATGTTGTTTAGAAGAACAATAAGTTAACAATGCTAACTAAAATTAAAAAAATGGTAAGCCAGGGCAGGCAGACTATTGTTTGGGCCTAATGGCATCTGCAAACTGGCATTGTGTGCGAAGTCAATCAATGCTGAATATTTTGTCTAAGTAATGATTCTTTGCAAAGACCATTTAACTTCTAAGCAAGATTATAAACCTAGCTATGTTGCAATTGTGACAAAAATTTCAAAAATAATAACTTCATGGTCTTTCAATAACTTTCAATAATCTTGAAATCTTCTAAGACCAAAAATTCTTTTAGAATTTTCTTGAGATTTCCTACTGTATCTGGAGATATTTCATTGCAAAATTAATTCAGCGAGTTTCAGTGCAAATGATGGCTGCCAGATTCCTGGAGGTCATTCGACAAAATATGAGATAAAGCAAATCGTTTTTGTCTAAAAAAGTCTATTTCTTACAATTTATTAAATATATCTCACAAATTAAATATATTTCATAAAATTTTACAATTGGGTAAAATTGCAATTGAAAATCTCAACCAGCAATCTCGTTATATTCCACCCATTTTCTTTGTTTTTTTTAGCAAAGGGTTAACCACATGTTCTTTGAGGTGATCATCTGTATACTTTTGTTAATAAGTGTACATGGAATGCACACTGTGTCAAACCAAATAATTTGTAACCCAAATAATAAAGCTTCCAGCTAGATAACTATCTCAACAGTTTGACACATTTGAAGATAAGATTGCAGAGTAAAATTCCAGCAGTTGAGTTTGTCATTCTCTGCAAATTTGCATGACAACAGCTTTGTACAGGCCTTGTTCCTTATTATTTCAGGGAGGCAATGAAGCTCAAAATTTGTCAATCATTCTAGAGCTTTCTTGGTATATATAAATACATATTCATATGTATGTTTTTTTGTTCAGGATGAGGAACATGATCCACTGCTAAACAGTTTTGCACAATTAAAAGAGACTTTGCACAGTGTCACTGGTAAGCTAAAACAGTTTATTTTTAACCAGCTGAAAGCTTTGTTCTAGTCACCATAGCTGGTCATGCAGATTCTATTCTCTCTAGACATGGTTAAGGAAAGCTAAATTCATTATTATGGGTGCCTTAAAAACAGACCTCAGCTAAAAATTTTGCTCTCAAAAGAACCAGTCTTGTATGTCATGAATGTGATGTGGGCAGCCTACAGAAAACACTTCCTTGTATGACTTTTCATGATCCAAGGTTCTATAATCTCAGAAGAAATTTATTTAGCATATTTTTAATATTTCCAATGGAAATGGGACCCTCTGTAAAATCAGTAGCCTGCACAAGATAGGTCATTTTTTTCTGACATTTTGCTGAGAAAGTAGAACCCTATGATTAACAAAAGGCAGAGTTTTAATAGTATGAATGATAGATAGATCACGTGCATGAGCCAGATACCGTATTCTCTCTTGTATTCCTGCTGTGGGTTTAATTGATTAAATCTCCCAATTAAATGCTGGATTATTAGAGAGGGGGATTATTAGAGAGGTGGGGTTAATTTTTTAATGTGCTTTCAGAAAGAAGCCTTAAATTTTCAACTGGTTCTCTTGTGTTTTTGGACAGCAACTTTGCATGTAAATTGCAAAGAGTGTTCCAATTGTTGTTGGTTGAAACATTATTCACCCTTGCAGTTGTCAAATGAGAACGACAACATACCAGGCTGAATGTTTAAAAATTATATATAAAAAATAATTAAAAGTATATATCAAGGGCGGGGATATTCAATAGGTGGGAATATTAGAGAGGCAGTAATATTAGAGAGGGCAGCCCTGGATACAAGTGAGAATACGGTATTTGACCTTTTTCAACCTGCATTTCTTTTGCAAAATGCTGCATTTCTAGAGCTGCATTTCTTCACTAAATAATGGGAACTTTTGTTTTCAGATTTGTCTGAACTTGATGCCAATGTATATCTTGGACCATTCTTGGAAGTTATTCGGTCTGAAGATACTGCTGGCCCCATAACTGGAGTTGCCTTGTCTTCAGTGAACAAATTTCTTTGCTATGGCTTAATTGGTAAGTACATCCATTAAATAGAAGTAGTGGAGGCAATTCTAAAAATAATTCAAAATTCCATTCAAAATACTAACATGGAATGTCTAGGGAATTCTATCATGATTGGTTGTCTATTTATAGATGTGTAGGGTAGTCAATTTTATATCTGTTTATTTACTTTAAGTATTATCATATTCTGGAATACTGAAGAAATATCTAGCTTCAACAATTATCATTCTTTCTTGGTCATTTGATTAATTAGGTATTCAAAATCTATGTAATCTGCAGCTATTGCTTTTAACCACTTGCAAATCTTTGAAACTTACAGTAACAAACTCATATTTTCTTTTTATCGCCATCCTTCTGTAGTTCTTTCTTCTCTTCCCATAAGATCCTATTGCTGAAAACTCAAGCTCAGGAGTTGAAAATTTGGCAGATGCAGTAACACACGCAAGATTTGTTGGCACTGATCCTAGCAGTGATGAAGTAGTTTTAATGAAAATTTTGCAGGTATACCGCAAATCTTAATTAAATCTTGATATTCCCTTATGTTATAACATGTTTCTGCTTCAATTCTCGCAAGGAATAATGATTCTTCCTTGCTATGCTCAATGAATGAAGAGCTATCTATCTTAAATGATAGACAATAACAAACACAAAGCTATGAGGCAGAAGATAATCAATTTTCAATTAGCAAGTTTGCTGCAAATTCTACCTGCATGTTTTACAAGCTATTATTTCTAGATGAAAATTTTGTTTATCTTGATTTAAAGTCGTTGAAAATGTTCTTTGCATAACTAGTAGATGAAACATCACATAAGAACATAACACTGTGAGCATTTTTAGTCACCTTTGAAAATTCCTTTTTGTGGTAAAATGGTCTGCCAGCAAAAAGTGTAATTTCTTGACAATTATTTTCAACAATCTTTTGGTTGTACAAAACTTGAAAATGGCTTTGAAAAAATTTGAGTAAACTAAAGCTGTTCGTCTGACACTCCTCTGAGTTTAGAACGTCAGAACATAGATCAAAAGCAAGCACATGACTGTTGAGGTTGCCCAATCAGTGCTGCTTGCCTATAGAGAAAGTTACCAATGGAGTCCTAATGTGAAAACAAACTCCTTCTGTCTACACACTAGCGGTTGTTTCGTGCTTATGTAGATAGATTCCAAAACTGCTTCATGGAATGACGATCGGGCTTTACCAATAATTTGAAACATTCGCCATTATAGTTTTTTTGCACAATCTGGGTTTTCCAGTTAATGCTACCCGATAGCGGAATCGCATGTTTTAGTTGTACTTTAAGATCTGCAAGACTGAGGTGGCTGTTCTCTTTAGGATCAGTTTTGTTTCTAATACTAGACGAATCATGCTGTTTTATTTTATCCTCCAATCAAGGAGAAGATAGAAAATTTCTCGGCTGACGCAAAAGTGCCTGGTCTATCTAAAACTACCCTGGATCGGTAACAGTTCCTGGCGTTTGAAAGCCAGAAAGAGCAGGCCATTACAAACTGTTTGCGATGTGTCCTGCAAAAAAAAACTAAAAAAGGCCCTCGGTTTAACGAACTTTCGATATACGAACTATTTTCTAGTTTCCTCCAGAGTTCGTTTTATCGGGATTGGGACCTTAAGTAATTTATTTCAATGAGACTTTTTTGTAGATAATTGTAAACAAGCTGAAACGGAAGGGGCCTTCTTCTAATTAGTCAACCTCTGTTTTTTGTCTTGGTAATCATGTTATTGTTGATGTAATCTTGGTAATCCAATTAGTATTGAAGTAGATTTAAAGTTAAATCAAGCAAAAGATGTAATTTTTATAAATTGCTTTTATTCTAGGTTCTCCGAACATTGCTGTTGAGTTCTGTTGGTGTTCATATGACGAATGAATCTGTTTGTGAAATAATGCAGTCTTGCTTTAGAATCTGCTTTGAGATGCGCCTAAGTGGTACGCTTTCATCATTAATATTTTGTAGATGCAATAATATGCACAATGACTGCAGAGGAACCGTCTATGTTTTCTGTTTTCCTCGTAGATGTAAGAATATTTCCTCCAACTGTCTCCCTCCAGCCCAAAACCTTTGGAAAATAGCAAGCTCCCTATGATACTGTTTCTGCCTTTCCGTTCCACCTATCCACTAGAACAATACATAAGACATAAGTACCATTTCCTCCTCATCCCTAACCAATGTTGGTCAGCAAATTTTTATTCATATTCGATTGAATTACTATATTTAACGTTAAAAAGCATGTTTCTAAAGCATTAACGTAAGATTATCCAAAATTGTTGGGAAGGGGGCTGTAGAGCTGCAATATTTTGGCAATGATTGTTGATTGAATAGTATAGTATACCTGCCGCTTTGTGCAACCTTTTTACTCACTGCTGAATTGATGTCTTTGTCAGTGTTAATACTTTTTGCAACAACCTCGAGGTGTCAGGCCATACAAGGATTTTACCTTGATTTGATCAAAACTTTTCTTTTGTTTTGATTCATGGCTAAATAATGAAAGCCATAGATTTTTTCTTCTTCTCCATGCTGTGACTAGACTTAGACTATATGTTGTGCCAAGACTGTAAACTATCACTTCGTTTGCGACCTATGCTCAACGACCAGTTACTTTTCCAGAGTTACTACGTAGGACTGCCGAACAGACTTTGATTGACATGGTGCAGCTGCTTTTCACAAGGTTCGTTCATTGTACTTCATCTACAACTCATAACAGTTGAATACGGGTAGCAGTTGTCATGTGTTCAGAAAATCTCTTGTTCCTTATTAGCCAGTTTTTGTATTCGCATAACTACTGGTATAAACTAGATGTTCGAATCGAGGAACACACTTTTATTGTTTTCTAAGATGATTAGATAGGGAGTATCATTTAAGATTCATTTGTCGTTATTTTAAAGAATATAAGACAGATAGTCAGAATAACAAGCTTTGTGGCTGCCATGTTTGGCTTGAAGAAAACACTGAAGTGTGACATGGACTGGTGTATATATGTATTGAAAACAAAATCTCTTCACTGTTTACACTGCCTATCTGCGTTTCTGCTCAATGTGTTCAATTTGTAGTCCTGATAAGATGCTAATAGGTCACTTTGAGTCATAAAAGTTGAAGATCCCTGAACCACTGCATATGATTTTGATAGATTTTCCAACAATATCTAGTTGATTGATTCTGAAAATTGTAACCAAGACAAGATGACTTTTTTTCTTGACATTCTTTCCACATTTTTTAAACAACACTGATTTCTCTATATTTTTTATCTGCAGGTTACCTCAATTCAAAGAAGACATAAAGGGAATTTGTTCCCCACACATTCGAAAGGTATATAATTTATCTATAAATTTTTGGTTGATAATATCATACGTTAAATTTTGGGTGAGAGTAAAAGGGTGCGGCTTTAATGGCAGTGTGTTGCTCTGTTCATTGGCAATTGTTTGTTGAATTTGGCAATTGTTTGTTTAATTTGGCAATTGTTTGTTAAATTTGGCAATTGTTTGTTGAATTTCGGGGGTCCTGGAAGTTTGAGAAGCGTGACAGATTAGTATAACTGATCAGTACCAAGTAAGAGACCTCCAATGTTAAGAAATGAAAATTCACTTAAATCGAAATTTTGTTCTTTGTTTCGACAAACTAATGGACGGCGCGACGTACTGCCTTTTACATGTGTATAGTAGTTTTTTACAAGAGCGGACAACGCTTTGATTTGTGAGATTATTTTGCTGGGTGACCAGATTGAATTTTTATAGCACAAGAAAGCTAATTTTTGATTCCTTCCTTTTTTGAAATATTCTCCACAAGTTAAAACTGGAATACGATTTATTTTTGCTTGAAAAGTGACCTTATTTTTTAAGTATTCGTTTAATCTTGTGGCATCATATGTAATCTTTATCGTTTATAAGATCTTTTGCATTCTTTATCTTAAAGCAATTTTTAACGGATTGACCGTCTTTCATCAGATGTTCAAAAGGTCAGGAGCGTTATCGGGGACAAGGAGATCTAGCAAAAAACCGTCTCCTCTGCCAAAGCGGACTTCGCGCAAGGATGTGGACGTTTCTGAGAAATCATCTGGCAAAATTTCCTCAAAAAAATCTCCATTAGTGCAGCAGTCAGAGCATGAGCAAGGTGCAGCGAAATGTCCTGATGATGCAGTCAGTTCAAACATTGAGCGAGCTGTTATCGATGTAAGCCAAGGTGATAATGTAGAAAGTGACTATACTCGTGATTCAACGATAAATGAAGAATCCAAGGAATCCGTTTTAAGTTCAACTCTAGATTCAATCCAGATTATAAGTGATGTTTCAGTTTCTGAAGAAACGTGTAGTGAAAGTAAGGAGCCTATTGGAAACGATGAGGATTGCTCGACTGAGCTTGCGAATAAAGAAGCGGAAAGATCAGATTTAGAGAAAAAGGAAATGGATCTAGACAAAGTTGAGGATAAAGAAAAGGACAATATTTTAGAAACAAAATGCACTTCACCGGAAGAGTCAAAAAATCTGATTTTAGGGGCATGCGAGGAAGGTGCCAAAGGGTCAGATGTTTTACTGATTGATGCTGAAGACCTGGAAACATTCCAAGATTTGAGTATGAATCCAAATGTTGTCGTTGAACGTGACGTTGAGGTTGCACAGACCCTTGAATTGAAATCATCAGACACATCAGGTCTTGTTACCGGAGGTGTTATTTCATTGCAATACCCAGATGATGACGCGAGGAGCTTGGATTCTGTTAGGCTTGACGAACTGAAAACCGAGGAGGATCCACAGGAAAGCCAGGTCTGCAATAGGTCCTTGGGCCTTGTTGTTGCTTAATAATCGCTTTTATAGTGTATCCATCATATCTTTCAAATAGAAATTTCTCAGCTTGATATTGACGGAACCCGCAATATTTTCGACTTAGAAAACATTGCTATCTGTGTAAAATATATTATATGCATTTGAATTCGATTTTGATACATCAATGGTATCAAATTACTACCTTGGAAGTGTTATGTGAAGTTTTATATTTTATAAGTTAGCCCATTGCCCTTTTTCAGAAAGGTGAATGGGTTATCATGGTAGAGAGAACCTTCTCATTTGTGGTATTTGCTCAATATTGTTTTGCTATTCTAGGAGAATGAAGAGACACAAGAAGAATGTCAACCTGTCAAAGATGTTGCTAGTCATACGGAGGAAAGCAGTCACAGTGCTGATGAGTTTGAGCCTGAAGGCCAAGAAGAGTATGTGAACCAACAAGGGGTTCGTTTCATGCCACAGCAGCAACAGAAAGAAGGTATCGAATGCAATATCGCTATTTTATAACTCTTTTTACAGTTCGCCAGAAGCCTTGTTTGTTTTTCCTTTTTGCCTTTACATTTTGATGTGTATATATAGAAAGCAAATATTTATCCCTAGAAAATAGCTTCTAATTTGACTCAAATTGATGATTAAATGTTTGACTTAGGAATAACTGGGCGAGCTGGGAATGGTCCAATGTAAAAATTATCGGTGTTGAAAAATTGGAGGAGGTGGGGGGGGGTATTTATTTCGTTGGCTCCATTTGATTGCAGAAAAGTAAAATGGAAAAATTAGAAAATGGAAAACACAAGATTTGTGGGAACAGACAGTTAGCAGTATTACAAAAATAAGCTAAGGCAAAGCAAAGGAGAGTCAAATAAATAAGTTGATGTCAGTATATTTGTTTAGAAAGAACTATGATAAAATTGTGTTCAGAATCATCTCAATTTTTCGAGAATTACTAAAATAGAGAGTTGAAATAAAAGTTTTCAGGAGAGGGTTAAAATAAAAGTGGCCAGGGAACTTTTTCAACGATGGAGGTGGAGGAGGATATTATTCAGTACTTGATCGCATACTCTTGAATATATGGAGCAAATTTTGTTAACCTAACTCAGAGATTACATATCGTCTGTTTGTTTTTTGCCGATTATGACCACCGCTCTTTACGCTACGTTGTAATTTTTCAGGACAGCCAGCACTGGTTCCATATGGCCTACCATGCGTAAAAGAGCTTCTTCGCTTTTTGACAACCCTTATCAACCCACATGACCGGTACGTAAAATCTAGATATCTCTCGAACATTACAAGTATCCGCTCATGCCTCTAAAATTACGTCGATGTGAGAATTTAGGTCGCAGATGCAGAAATTTTACAAAGAACAATTTTACTCATTTTATTACGTTAAGGGGCAGATTTCAGTTTATATGATTTCAAGTGGTGGATAGGCAGGGTCAGATAAGCGTTAGTTTTTAAAACTTTTAGTTGTCATTATAGAAAGGGATAATTGTGCACGTAAACACGGCGTCGAAGAATCATTTTCCTAAATTCCGACACCTAAAGATATTTTGAGAAGCTTTGGGGATTGAAAGCAGTGGCGAACACCTTGGGGCGAAGAGGGCGGTCGCCCCTCAAAATTCGGGAGGACAATGGCCTTTTGTTCTAAAACAATGGAAAAATATGACGTCATCTTATTAAAGCATTAGGCCTACCCCCTAATATTTGACCAAGTGCCCAGCCCTGATTAAAAGATCCCTACAATTCTGGTTTTACATAAAATCAATGGCAAGTTTTTAAAAAATGAAGCTGTAACCTGAAGCTGTAAGTTGTTTAAAATTTTTATTCCAAATTTAGATTTTTTGTAATAAGACTTGTTTATTACATGTTTATAGTTGGCCTTAATTAGCTTATCGCTATTGTCTTTGCCAACTTTAAATAAATTGTTTATTATTATTATTTTTTTTATATATTTATCTCGTTGTGAATTTCGCTTTATACCACTGCTCACGCTGCAACTACGAAATCCTGTCCTCTCAAGCTCCATAAAGTTGCTCACAGCTGCTTATTTGTTGAATTGTATGTGATATGCCGTATTCATTTTTGTAGCAACCTGTTAGTGTGGATACCTTAACCCCATTTACAGTATTGCTTTGTAATCTCTTTTAAATAACACTGATGTTCACAAAATAGCACCTTTTTGGAGTGTTTTCTTGAATCGAGAAGTATGGGAAGCGACTATAAAACTGTTTCAATGCCGTGTAGAGAGGAGAAGTTTTTTAATTTCCTGGCTGTAACTATATGACGTCCCCGTTTCGTTTTGGGCGCCTCTTTCAGCATACCCTTGGTGCCAGAGCTTCTGTGAAATAGTTGTTCGGGGAAAGATTAGTGCGACTATCAGTTTCACTGGGGTTATGGTACCCAGGGTGTTTTGAGCAAAGTAGTCGAAATGTGCCAGTTACCTCAAGTGTAGTTTAATACTTAAATATATTTGCATATTTGTAGTTATTAGCTTACTTTCAGGCACAATTCAAACACAATGATACACATTGGACTCTCATTATTGACGGTGGCATTGGAATCTGGTGCTAGTCATATTGGGCAATTTACGTCATTGATGAATCAAGTGAAGGATGAGACTTGCAGAAACCTCTTTGCTGTATGTTTTTATGCTAAAATGATTGATTCATTTTTTATGATCCTAAAGAGAATCAACGGACAAATGTCCAATTTTTCTAATGATAATTACATGATACATTATGTTTAAATTGGAATTGAACTATATCCAAGGACATAATTGTATGCCAAGTCTAGTAAAAAGAGGGGGCTCTATCTTGATTGATTGCCTGTTCATAGATGCGTAGGTAAGCCAACTTTATAGCCGTTGATTCCCTTAAAAAGATGAATTTGCTTACTGCTTGGCAAAAGAGTCAAGTTTAACATATATAAATTTCAAGACTAACGGCAGAATTATGTTATAAAACCTTATCTTCGTAACTCGTTTTGTAACCTAACATACCATCATATGCAAGCAAATATACTGGCATATTTCTTGGCAAAGCTCTTAGCATAGTTTTTATAAACAGTATAATACGCTTTGTTTGAAGAGCTAGAACTGGATCTCTTCGACCCCCTTCTACGAACTACAACAGCAAGAATAATGCAGTCACACAATTAATTGCTATTTTCGGCAAAGCTAATCAGTTCCCTTATTAAACACTCATTGTTTTATCTTCGTTTATAAAAGTAAACATCAATTTCTTCTGGATATTTTTGTGGATTTCAATACTCTGTTAACTGTCCCGGTGCGGATCTATTTTAACTCTGAAACTTTTCAGTTTCTTTCTGAACATTTGTCAATGATAATAATTTTGTTGTTTATTTTCATCTTAAATATTTTCATCTAGCCAAAGGTTGTTCTTTTTATGCATCTGAAAATGGATGATTCTTGTTTCAGCTGCTGCAATGTGATATTCACGTGTTATTTTCTTTGGCCATGAGAGTCTGTTTCCTCATGATAGAAGCCTTGCGGCCACACTTGAAGTACCAAGTTGAGGTATTTCTTACTTCTTACATTGTTGCTCTGATAAAGTTATTCTTTGCTCAAATAACCCTCTTTAACTCTAGATCAACATTGGGTAGAACTGAAAATTTTGTGTGAATGGAAGTTTATAAATTGAGTGTAAATGGAACTTAGTTCCTGTCAAACTTGAAAAGCTATATCAAGCGCTCCTTAAATTTGAAACAATAGAAAATCTCAAATTGTGTTTAAAGTAATCTATGATTGCTAAGTCGAATAGTCCCATTAAGCTTGGTATTTTGTCAGGTGTCAGTTTTTAACCTTTTTTATATTAACTGTAGAGCAACCTTTTTAAGTTGATTTGTTTTGTATTTTAAAGTAAAATTACTTCAGTTGAAATGGCATCAGTTTCTAATTATAAAGTTGATATTTACTTCGAGATTATGGCACAGACTTTTGTCAAGAAATCGCTGACACTATATAGTTCATCAGCTTGTTTTAAAACGAGTTCATGTAGGCTGACCACCGAGAACCCTCTGCCTTCAAAATTTAGATAAGCTATGATATCCTGATGTGTATGTTGCAGTAGACTTTTAGTTACTCCAAATTGTTGCTTGAAAAGTTGTGACTGTAGGAGTATCACTGTAGGCGGAGTGTCACTGTAAACAGAACGAAATTCAATACTTGGGATGAAATACTTTGCGATATTTGGGATGAAATGTTATTTGACAGTAACCACTTGAAGCGGGGTAGCTTTAAGTGGAGTCTACATAAATTTGAAACTCGTCAAGATAAGAAAATACCTTGTAGCTTTGATTAGATTTTTGTGATTATCTTTCATGTAACTTTTTTTAGATGTTTTTTATGAAACTGATGGACATAATGACACTAGAGCATACGAACATACCATATGAAAAGAGAGAGATGACTCTGGAGTACATTAACCAGGTATATACTTCTCTAAGACTATGCTGATTTGTATATTAAACAATTCTTTATCTTATCTTATTTACATTATCTGATCTTATCTCGTCTTATCTGGTCTTTTCTTCTCTTATTTTATTATTATCTTATCCTATCTTATCTTATCCTATCTTTTCCTATCTTATCCTTTTTTATCCTATCTTGTCGTATCTTATCCCTTCTTATCCTATCTTATCCTATCTTGTCTTATCTTATTTTATTATTTTTGCAAATTTGTCCTATTTATCATCTGATGAAATACAGCTTTTTGTGCAAATTTGTCCTATTTATATCTATTTCAACTGACAGATAATTATTTGCAGTGTAAAGCATGCTCAAGTCTTTCTGTTTTCGTAAATGTTAAATAATCTAGTTCAAGGTTTAATTTTGAAAGAATTCTGACAGACAGCTCCCCTTTCTGGCTTTTTCCACTGTTTTTTACATTATACATCCTAAACACCTTTGCCAGACCATTGTTGAAATCTGTTACAGTTGATTGCTAGTGCGTCACCCCTAAATAGGAAATAATCAGAAGAGAAACTCCATTCACAAGGATTTGACGCTTTCCCCACCGACTTTAGCTAGCCAATTGCTGTTTGTCACAGCGAAACTGAGAGAAAGAACGACCAAATCGTTCCTAATAGCCCATTTACTCTACTCAATTGTTCTCCTCTTTTCCGTGAAATCTGAGAAAAAGGGAAACAACGTTAAATGGTTCAGAGACAACGTGCCATTTTAAGAACTGTTCAGGAAATATTGAATCGTGGAGAAAAATGAATATTCTATAATCCTTGACAAAGGTTCTTGGAACACCCTGCGGTCAATGTAAGATTTTAATGAAATAAAAGTTTCCGGCCGTAAGATACAAAAATATCTCCCCTCTTCCCCAAGCAAAGTTGGTTGTTTAGCCTATTACTTGCCCTAGCTGATAAAGTAACATTGGATGAATTTCAAGCTTTGAAACTGTTGTTATTCAACATTGTTTCAAGGGGAGAGGGGGACGCTAATGAACTTATGCGAAATTTTAGCATGTAAGACTTTTGGCAGGCATTGTAGTTCCAAAACATAAAGGCTTGTTTTAGAATGCATAAAATGGTCATATCTTTACCAAAATAAGAATACAGAGACAGGGTATACCGTTGTTTCACTAGCCAATCGTATAGAATTTATTAATAACTGATAATGCATGCAAAGAATGTGTTGTTAACCTTCACTTCGCTATATTATTGATTGGTTAATGTTCCTTTCTGTCCTTCTAGCTGTTCCATGTTCCATATCTTGTCCCAGAATTGTATCTCAATTATGATTGTGACATTCGGTGCACTAACCTTCTAGAGGATTTCAGCAAAGTCCTTTCCAAGGTGAGTGACTTTCTTGTAAATAGATTTCTGTCAACCGCTCTGCTATACTGAGCTCGATGCCGCAAAGGAGAGGGGCTCTGGCTTTGGTGTAATTCCGAGTCTCATGCTGATCGAACTTCCGATGGAATTTCTACAAAATGGACTTTCGATTCAGTTCCTTTCCTTTCTTAAGTGCAATAACTTTGACAACAAAGCATGGAATTTAGACGGAGTTTTGGAACTGTATTTTCTTTAAGGGAAACGGAAGTTTCTGTTTTTATTTCTAAGTTTTGTAGATTGTAAAAGTCAAGCTCTTAATTTTCGTGACCGAGTTTCACAAAAACGATCAGCGAAATTCTCCTATGATGCTTGTGTTATAAAAGAATGATATGGTTTTCGATATAGAGGAGCTGCATGCTCGGTTTATTTTGTCACAAAACGATCAGTGTTGTTTCCAAAATGGCCAGCAGATCTTTCATGTTCCTGTCAAAATATTTCTAGCTTCCTTATTTTCATTCTCATTATCGGACCCTCCACCCCATGCTGGGAAAATGCTGAACCACTGTCTTATACATTTTCTTGCCACTTGCATATCATAAACAAACGCGTCAGGTCCCTTCCACGTGTGCCAGGCAGGACCTAATCTTAGCCTGTCTGTCGCTCTTGACCTTTCCTTTTCGCTAAGGGTCCTGCAAACTTCCCTATTATTCATATTCAGTCATTATTATTTATATTTTATAGTTGTTTTTGTCGTTATTTGAGTTAATTTATATGTTTGGAATGGATCCGAGACTCAGACTGGCCTCTTCAGCCAAACGTAGGTAATACGAAATAAGGTCAGACCACATAGTTTATTTCTCTGTATACAGACAACTATATAAACTTTTTCCGTGTCTATCGTCCATGTGCATTTCACAGTAGACAGGAACAGCGCAAAACGACCAGGAGCAAAGCAGTAAAAGATCAGAAATCCAAAATTTGAAAGCAAAGTCAGGTTTACAAGTACTTGGCTCCGGCATAATGGCTTTATCCTTACTGTTTATTATCATATTTTTCATTGTAATATTCATACAATCCAGCAGACGGCCTTATTCAGCGCCCCTACCGTTTGGCGTGCTTCATTTAGCAGACGGTTTTAAAATAGTTCTATTTCGCAAAGCGGGCTCAACAAGACAGCTTTCTTTCACAAAAGGACATTTGGGATTTCACAAAGCATTTCATAAAAGATTTCTCACATGCACAATCCCAGTCAAGTTGAAATTTGCTTTTCAATGTTGCGGTTGGTACTGCTTTGATGTCAATAATTTTACGACTGCCAACGTGCACACAGTTCTGCTGAATGGGCGGTTAGATGGAAGTTCTGTCTGGTTATCGCATCATGTAGAGTATTTTTTAATTATATTTTCAAATGGCTTCCAAAAATTAAACCATTTTCCAACATCCTTAAGCTTTTCGTCCGACACTTTTCAGGATGTAAGCTTCAGAATATGGGTCGAGTTATCAAGCTTGGAAATATATACCCAGTTGTGGATCGAAAAAGGGAAACCAGAGTTTTATACCACCAAAATTTTTTCATTTAAAGATATGGATTACAGGAATTAAATTGAAAAAACTGACAAATAGCATGTTATAACCGAATCTTTCTTTTTACGTAAATTTTGGTAAAACCAGCACTTGTGTAGATTTGTGAGTGGTGAAAATGTTGCCAAGATGATAGATGATTTTTCTTTGGAAATTGATGCCATCATAAAATGCCCAAGGACTTCAAAGGACCTGGCCGGAGGTTTAAGGGTTTTGAGTTGTTTTTGTTTTTCGTTTGTGTTTTTTTATTAATTTGTTTTTATTAACTCAACATTTGAATGTGACAATTTATTTTTGTTGCTGAGGGAAGGGAAGTATCGTTTCATTAAAAATTTTGATCCTCCTTAACATCCAGATTTGTTGAGGAGTATCAAATGTCACGAGACGAGACAGGCTCGTGGCAGCACCAACTGGTCACCACGACAATATTGATTCTTCCTCGTTAAGTTGTGGGTTTTGAAGCTCAAGAGTTTCACTGGACAGACTGGTAGTAGATAAAAATACCCGTTTCTTATGGCACGTAGATAATGTATATGTATATAATATATAGCATAGGGTAGAAGAAAATAAGACTACATGCTCTATCTCTACAAGCCTGTTTCGTGATTAACTCACTCTTCAGGAGATGATGATTTACTGAAATGTTCCTTGTACATAATGTATATGTATATATGCGTTCCAGAATAATTGCAATTTTTTACCGCGTCGTCTTTGAACAATAATTTCAAATTTATCAGTACCATTTTTAAGAAGCGAACATTTCACTTTAAATTTATTGATTATTTATATTCTTTAATTACTATTTTCTATTGTTTCAACTTCAATTGTTATATTCATTTCTAATTTTCATTTCAATATGAAGAATCCCTCCAAAACATTCGCCTAAACCCTCCCATGTTACATACCTTCCAGATATTTTCCAATCTTTGCAGTCTATATTAATTGAAGAATCATAAAACAATCCGTTTAAATGTGCATAATAACATTCATTAAACCACCAGCCACCTTTGTAGACTTCAGCGCAATTGGAAATCGGCTCGGGATCATTTTCTCTGTCTTTTGTTGAAAACAGCTGCATATTGTGATTAAGTCTACCTCCCCATGAATTGCTTGTTAATGCGTCTGGCAGTGTACTTTTTCTTTGAAAACCACCTACATTGAGTACATAGTTCGAAGCCTCGTTACCGACGTAGAAAAAAGAGTATTCTGCAAAGAGTAAGTGGCTTGAGTTCTGCTCATGAACCACTTCAACTCGCAACATTGATTGGTTTCGTGACGTAAGAGCATGGATGTTATCAAGCCCGAGCCAAAAACTACCGGACATGTCCCCAAAGCCTCTTTTGTAATCATCCCACAAACGATCAAAATTTGTGTTGTCCATTCGTCTTTGAATAACTGTCCATCCTTTGTCGTCTGTCTCCATATCACAGTAAACTTTGATCACGGTCGGACGCAGTCCATCAATTTGAAGTGAGTAAATGCCGTTTTTTCTCGATGCAGCTTTGCGTAAACTACCACAATCTGGCTGCACTGAAATGGAAATGAAGGAAAATGTGCTACTTATATGAAAATAAACATTTTGTTTCGATTTTTTACGCAAATCAATTTACATTTTTGTTTCAACAATTGGCTTTTATCAATATTTGCCATCGCTTTTGATGAAGTGTAAGCTTATAAACAAAGAAGAGAATTCTCAACACGAAGATTTTCTAGTCATTTTACTAAACAATTTCTCTTTCATTTGTTTTTCGCCAGTGCCTAAATATGATAGCCCTAACATCTTCTATATCTTACTGAAGGTTAAAAAGACTCTTACTGAAACTCTCCTGTTTAAAGATTTGTATACCGATTTAACCATGTAATGGAGCTTTCCTAGCTTTATAAATTTGTGCGTTTTTCGTAGCATTTTATTATTCCAATTTCTAATACATTGACAGGATGTTTTCATGGGTCTTCAATAAGCCAAAATTCCTGTTTTGCGAGTGAATATTTGCCTTTTTTGCTCAAAGCAAAGCTTACTTAATCGGTGCTTACAGAGAAGTGATATGTATTTTTGCCATCGTTAATAGTATCAATTCGAGTGTGTTTGCTGTATATTTGTCTTACCAGTGCTAAGTAGGCACTTTGACACATCTGCCGAGGTACATCTGTGACAAGTGTAGCCGGGACAATTGCAATTGTCAAGACATACATCAGTTTCCATGCATGGCTTTAGTTTGTGGCATGTATGGCCAACCTTTACAGGTAAAAAGAAGTAATGGCAAAATTAAACTCCTTGGTAAAAGAATCTTCAGTTTTGTTCATGGACAGTCAATGCTGGGAAGTTGAAACTTCAAGGGATTTAACATTTTCTCGAGTTGTCGAATGTTGCAGTTGCTAACAATTGTTATGAACAGTTATAATTGTTTAGCGAAAATTTTTCTACAAGTTATTAAAAAAATCGGACAGTGTAATAGTTTGACTTTGGTTGTTTTGTTTTCGTTGTTATCTTTTATGTTCATAGTTCAAACCATCAAAATAAAGCAATAGGTGAGATAAAAATGTCTTCTACTTACAAGTGTACTTTGATAGTCGCTTGTGAGAAAGTTCCAGCCATATTTCGGTATCAGTTTTACGTGGTCTTGGCCATCAATGACCGACACCGTACTAAGCTGACATGTATTTTCACCATTTAGTCTGAAATTAACAGAGTTGCATTTGCTGTTTTTAATACATCTTTCTTTGCATTCTTCCTCTCGTACGAATGAAAACTTCTCAAGAAAAGGGCCTGGCAGGACAGCATTGCTCACTGTTTTATTGAAATTCGCATATGATTCACATGGCCTCCGTAGAATTATTGACTCACTACACTTCCAAATCAGCGTCATTAATGTCAGGAGATAGCTGAAAAATTGCAAAGTAGCTTATTTCCCCTTTAATTATTTGATTTTCTTATAGTTATAGCCTTTTCTATTTTCTTCCAAATTTCTTCTCGATTTCAATTGATATTTAAATGATGTTTAAAAGGCATCAATTGAATAAATGATGTTTCAATTGAGAATCAACATTGATTATTTTGCATACTTACAAGATTTTTTTGAAAAAATCCAATTGAAATTTGTAATTGTAAATATGTCATTTTTGATAAATGAAGTTCGCTTCCCAGTGGAGCCACATAGTGTGAGTCACATTCTGATCAGTGGTCACGGCCCCATCTAGCTACTTCTTTTCTTTGTTGAAATTTCATAATATTTGAAAGCACTTTATCAGCAAGTTTTCTTCAAATACACCAGGTTATGATTGGTTATGTTGCTAATTTTTGTTACAGTGCCTAAAACATCGTTTATTTGCAATGAAAAGTTTCTTCAAGAGAGTTTTTAGTTCGAAATTGCTTCGAAGCTTAGATTGAGTTGGCGTGAACGAAAAATCTAGTCGATTAAATAAGTTTACCTGTTAAACGTGGGTTGGCAATAAATTTAATTCAAATTCGTTTTTATTGATTTTTGGTGTACAAAGTCAATTTTTGTATTTAAAAATATGCTATAAAGATTATTTTAAATTTGGTTTTTATTGAACATAAAATACACTGTGGAGACATGAATGTAGAATATACTATACCTGCTATATGAAATGTTGTGCTCAAGTACCATCTCTGTGTGGTCCTCTCAAGTCATTTGTATGGTATAGATTTATAATAGCTATGTTGCTTGAAGCATCAGTTTTCGATTAACGCTCTCTCGGGATATTGCATGAACAACTGCGAAAAAAGTCTAGCTAGCAAACTAGTATCTGCCGAAATTTTTATTGTCGAGGCAACCTGCTTCTTTGTTTTCTTGACCTGTTTCACTGTTAGAAATATGACCCTGAACATTTTGCTTTCGGCGGACTTGCATAGAGTCAAACAACTGGCATCCTTTCACAATAGAAGTTGTTATGGGTACGTTTCCAGAGAAGTTCAAGTGATGCCTTTTTTTGTTATAGTTTCGCAATCTCTAGCTGATTGATTCTATTGTGTTTCTGTATTGTTTTATATAATTCTGAAACCATGAAAAGTCTATTTTTTTCAATCACATTAATACCCAATAAGAAATTCCGATGGTATTATCTGTTTGTTGGTAGCTTTGCTTTCATTTATTCTTTTCACAACTTTAAAATTTTTTGTAGGCTCCTTGTCTTTCTGAAAAACAATGGGCCTTTAAATGACTAAGCTACTGAAATTAGAGACTCACAACGGGTATAAAGGCAAGATTTTTAAGGAAAGTTCAGTTGTTGAACAGTCTTTACGCTTGCAAAATAGCATTCTGCGAGAACTGTTATTACCATTAGTTACTAAAGTCTGCAACTGTTTTACACTATTTACCATGGTCTACCATAGTTTATCATATTTTACAAGTGTTTACTCAAGTAAACCATGGTTTACTATTGTAAACCATTGTTGTCCATTGTTAACCATTGTTTACTATTGTTTACCATTGTTAACCGTGTTTAACTTCCTTTGCAGAACGCGTTCCGGCCTGGCAATCTTTCCTCAGTCAACATGCTAGCCCTAAATGCACTATTAACAATAGTCAACGATATCGAAGCGAATTCACAAATGATTTCCTCAAGAACAGACAGTGACAGCCTTGGGCAATTGCCAGCTGATTTTAGGCGTGGGGGCGAAAGAACAATTAGCACTTCTTCAGACAGAACAGGTGGTTACTATAACCCTATGTGTATAGGTTGAGCGATGTGCATTCTGGACTTCTTATTTGCTTTCCAATATTAATATTCTTAAGCCGCTCAAGATGCTCCTAATCTTTCCGTGTATTACGCAAATTTGTGTCATTTTTGTTAGCTCAGGATAAGATATAGGAAAATAGACATCCATATGATGGCTGACAAGATTTATTCTCGTTAAGAAATTTGCAATCAGATAGAGAAAAAATAAAACTAGCCTATTTTCAACCCACCGTCTTTACTAGGGGATGACGATTCTGGATCTGATGAAAACATGGAATACCTTGGGATCCTTCCACCTGCTCCACCAACCTCTGGGTTTAGTGTTGCCAAACAACTTCTGGCCAAAACAAAGCTCTCTTCAATGACCGGAAATAGCAAATCAAGAACATATTCTGATGCAAGCGATAATTTGCTGCCTTGTTCAGAGGATCTTGTAAAACAGAAGAGGCGCAAAAAGGTAAAATTATCTAATCCTGACCAGATCTTTAGTATCTATAGCCTTTTGGTGATACCAAATCCAGGGGTGGAAAAAGTATCGTACCATTGAGCCAGTGGTCCCAGAAAATATCTTAACCCTCAGAAAGAAAAATACAATGGAATTTACAGAAATTTTAATATAAATAATGCAACTAGAATAAAAGAATAAAAATAAAGTCATTCCCTAGTAATTACTGTAAAATTTTCCTTTTGAACGAGATTCAGGTTCAGATTGAGGTTCATTAAATTTTAAATTTCACAACATACATTTCCACAAAATACTAAATAAAAATGCAGCAATTTAAAATAACAAACGATCATTATAACAATAAGATGTGGAACACAAATTTTCGGTGGGATATGTATGTATGAGGAATCATTTTAAGGAGAAACTCTCTCAGTAGCAAAGCTAATCGAGGATAGAGGCCCCCCTATACACAAAGATATTTCATCATTTCACAGATATTTCAGTACAATTCTGTCATTTGCGAAAATTTTTGTTTTTCGTCCATAGATTACATGGTTCCTTTGATAATCTGCTAAGAATCAATTAAGATTCTTAATACTGGAAATTATTTTTCCCTGTTGTAAAACATCCTTAAAAAGTCAAACTTCTAGATTTCAGGTATCTTTTCTTCTACTATTATGCAGAAAATTTCTAATGACTCATTTGCGGTCATGTAAAAAATTGTTCACCCCTTGTCAAGCCACACTTGTTTCTATTTGGTTAAGTGCAAATGGCAAAAAGGAAGCTCAGTCGACTGTTAAACGTACTTTCTGGTAATTATCTAGAAGGATCAAGTATACCCCTTTATGGAGCCTCTGTTAGCACCATGAAATTTTATATTGAATTTAGTGGCATATTACATCATTCCCATGCAATCTCGTACCCCTTTACTGTAAGTTATCTGTTCCGCTGTTGATCGCTGATATTCTTCGGTTAGTTGTAGTAATTTATTCTCTGCCTTTTGCATTTATAATCACGATACTTTTATTGTTTATTTAATCGTTTATTTTCAAATTTTGCAGCTGCTCTGGCAGGGGGTAGATGAATTCAATAAGAAAGCCAAGAAAGGAATCGAATTTCTACAAGAAAATAATTTGATATCAACTCCGCTCGTTCCTGCGGAGCTTGTGCAGTTCTTTAAAGACAATCAGAAAGTTGACAAAAAGGTTATAGGTGAATACATTGGAAACAGGAACAATGGCAAGGTCTTGGATGCGTTCGTGAGGTAATAATTGCAAGATTATATGGCGGAAGATTAATTATTGTAAAATAGTAAAGACGCTTTTGGTGTGCAGAACAAAACGGTTTTAAATGAATTTGTATGCGCCTAAAGCATATACTGCACTGCCTTAACGGCATCGAGCACTTAATGACAGACTAGTAGACAGTACTTTTCAATGACTTTCTTTGTCTCTTGCTGCAACTTGCTGCCTCTTGCTACAACTTGCTGCCACTTTGTCTCTTGTGGCTTGTTAAAGATTTCCATTAAAGTGAAACTGAGCCTTCGCTACCGTCGTTAGACACCGCAAAAAAGCTGCCTGCTCAATGCTGTTAATTTTTATATTGCTGTTTTGCTATTTTTAAAAGTTTTTCAAATATGCTTGTGTTTAATTTTTCTAGTAACATTCTAGTTTATTCTTTGGAGTGAAATGAAAACATCTTTGAATTTCTTACTGCTTGATTTTACTATTTTCTAAATCTGTAAGGATTTAGTTTTTGGTTAAGTTTCTTGTTTATTCTCTTTTAGTTCCTTCGATCTCAATGGTTTTCGCATCGATATATCACTGCGACAGTTTTTGGAGACATTTAGACTCCCTGGTGAAAGCCCAGTTATATCCTTCATTTTAGAACATTTTGCAGAGAAATACTATGTGAGTACTTAGATTTGATTACCTTTTTAATATAATGTTTCAGTTCGCTCTATTTATATATTTCAATACAAAGAATCCTATCTTACAGTTTCTCTGAAATTTGTTTCTAAAACCCAGAGTTATGTCCATCAGTAATAATTGTGTTTGGTGTTCGTGTAACGCGTTATTTCTCCACTTCTGGGTGCCATCATGATTCTATGTCGTTTTTAAGAAAATCGATGGACATGAAAGTGAGGTTAGACATACCCGTTGGATATGGAACTAATGAGAATATATTGTGCTAACGTAGGATTTACAGGTGATTAGTTCCTGACACGAAGATGGTAATCCATTTAGAAAATTGAGAACAGGGGAGTTTGAAATGCAGAAACTTGTTTTCTCAAATTCTGCAAAGGACCTTACCGTGTCATCATTAAATGGGAAACAGCTCTGCATCCTCAAACGACCTATGGCCAAAATGCTTTGACCTTTGAGCGGAGAATCAAAAGCCAAAGGTCTACCGGACTGGCCTATTATCTTCGTTTCCTTTTTGCACAGTCTGTGCTTTAAAAGCTTTCTTCTCTTCATTCGTCGAGGAACACAACGCTTCCTCCTTTCGCAGCTTTAGAGGCACTCGCTCAGTGTCAAACACCTTGGACCTATGTCTGTTGATTTTCTGAATTCTAAAACTTGTTACATGTGGGATGTAAAGCTCTTTTCTGCTTTGTTAATAATCATTTTCTTATGAACTTCAGTCAAGTTTAGTTTACTTCTGTATCGAATATTTGCTTTTTGATGTGTCGTAAATCGTTAGATTTGTCCAATTCTTGATTAATTAGCCTGTACAAAGCTATGATAGAAATGACTTTCTCATTCCAGGAGGGAAACTCTGAAGGCTACGCCAACACAGATTCGGTTTTCACATTGGCATATGCCATTATTATGCTGAATGTTGACCAACACAATGCGAATGTGAGACAACAGAAGTCAATGACAGTCGACGTAGGTTCTTTATAGAAAATTTCCCGCTAAATCAAACTAATCAGGCCTCTTTGCCGTTATTGTGTTTGTATTCTGTGTATTCAAATTTACGCATCCAGAATATTTGTATCATTTGTTCCATCTCTGTGGGAGCTCTGTGAATTCCTATACCCGACGGGACCGGGCAGTCGCAAATTTTACAACCAGTGTAAAGACGTTGGTTACCTTCATTAACAAAGAGGTTAAGCCACACCCCCTCCCTTCCAGTCCATCCGCTTCTACGCCACTATTACTTTGGGTTTCTCTTAACCTGATGTAAATTTTTATATAATGTAAAGTTAATTTGATTTGGAGTCATATTTTTGCGTTCTTAAACCTGAGATCCAAGTAAATTAGGCTAAAGAAAGAAGCTAGTCTCTTTCAGAAAAATTAAGAAAAGCCTGTAACATTACAGCGTCAGAATAGAATTTCTTGCATTTCTTCAATACATTCTATTGACTGATCCATTGTATCTGTTACACACATTTAAGGAATTCAAAAGAAATGTCAAGGGTGTCAATGGTGGAGGGAATTTCCCAGAAGAGATGATTGAAGAAATATACAATAGCATAAAGTATGTAATCCGTGATGGTTGTGAACATTGCTTTTTAGCACCTCTACCAAACATTTATTGAGGATAAGCTTGTCGAATTAGCTGCATCAACTACTATTTTTGCATAAATTACGATTAATACTTTATTAACGTTAAGTTTTCTGGATCAAACCAAAGCTTTTATTTCATTTGTTTATAGTTTGAATTGTTGTCATTTCTCTTCTCCAAGCTGGTTTTAGACAAAATCTAACCTTTTTAGCGTATTCTACGTCCTTGATTTGTAAATATTGACTGGGAAGAATTTTTTATTTGCAAGTTAGACATATAATTTAATGGTGTTTTCCAGCATGTTTCAGGTATCTTAACTGTTAATTATATTGATAGGAATGAGGAAATTGTCATGCCTTCAGAAAGAACTGGTCGAGTGAAAGAGAATTACGATTGGAAGGTATGTTCAAACGACACAAAACAATCCTCCTCCTTGATTTTTATGAGAGAATCCAGAGAGTGAATTTTTCTTCTCGCGGGGTCAACGTTGCGTTTTGCATTGTGATGGTTTCCAAACATTTGCTATTGCAAGTAGTATGACCTAGAGCCGTTTATGAAACTTTTATTTGAAGTCTTTTTCTTATCAAACTAATATTTATTGAATGAGTCTTTTCTTTCGCTGGTGTGTTGAAACATTCTAAAGCACGTCAGTTATTATTTGGCTTTAGAATAACATTTTTACCTTAAGTTAAAGGTATTTCTAACTTAGTTAATATATAACGTAAATTTTTTATTTCTTATTCGGAACAGATAAGTTGTTTTTTATGGTGAATTTTTTTACAATTCTACACGGAAAGGCAACATGGGACGATGACAGCTACCCATTAGCTGTTAGATAAAATTCACATTTGTTGAGACGATTGAATTGTCTTCACGTTTATAGCATTTTATTGTTTTATTCTAGGATTTGTATCACGTGTTTAGGCTGCCAATCCTAAGTGACCACCATGTAGTTGTGTCTCGCTATATGTCATGATAAGAGCATAGAGCCTAATAATAACCAGGGCTGTTAGCACATATAGATAACCCAATTGTGCAAAATGTGATACCAGCATGAAACTTGGTGGAGATGGGCAGTTCAATACGCTGAGAAAGATAGGGCCTGGACCAGACCTGACAAATGCCCATTTGTTCTATTTTTAGACTATGATACAAGGCTCCAGGCCCTTAGACAAGCTTTTATCATACTTTCTTCTTGAATAGTAACACTTAAATATAACTTGGTGGAGATGGGCAGTTCAATACGCTGAGAAAGATAGGGCCTGGACCAGACCTGACAAATGCCCATTTGTTCTATTTTTAGACTATGATACAAGGCTCCAGGCCCTTAGACAAGCTTTTATCATACTTTCTTCTTGAATAGTAACACTTAAATATAACTTGGTGGAGATGGGCAGTTCAATACGCTGAGAAAGATAGGGCCTGGACCAGACCTGACAAATGCCCATTTGTTCTATTTTTAGACTATGATACAAGGCTCCAGGCCCTTAGACAAGCTTTTATCATACTTTCTTCTTGAATAGTAACACTTAAATATAACTTGGTGGAGATGGGCAGTTCAATACGCTGAGAAAGATAGGGCCTGGACCAGACCTGACAAATGCCCATTTGTTCTATTTTTAGACTATGATACAAGGCTCCAGGCCCTTAGACAAGCTTTTATCATACTTTCTTCTTGAATAGTAACACTTAAATATAACTTGGTGGAGATGGGCAGTTCAATACGCTGAGAAAGATAGGGCCTGGACCAGACCTGACAAATGCCCATTTGTTCTATTTTTAGACTATGATACAAGGCTCCAGGCCCTTAGACAAGCTTTTATCATACTTTCTTCTTGAATAGTAACACTTAAATATAACTTGGTGGAGATGGGCAGTTCAATACGCTGAGAAAGATAGGGCCTGGACCAGACCTGACAAATGCCCATTTGTTCTATTTTTAGACTATGATACAAGGCTCCAGGCCCTTAGACAAGCTTTTATCATACTTTCTTCTTGAATAGTAACACTTAAATATAACTTGGTAGAGATGGGCAGTTTGATACGCTGAGAAAGATAGGGTCTGGACCAGACCTGACAAATGCCCATTTGTTCTATTTTTAGACTAGGATATAAGGCTCCAGGCCCTTAGACAAGTATTTATCATACTTTCTTCTTGAATAGCAACACTTAAATATAACTTGGTAGAGATGGGCAGTTTAATACGCTGAGAAGATAAGATAGAAACCCAAACTGGAAAATGTCCCTTTGTTTCATACTGGTATCACATTCTGCACAATTCATGTTATAACATCCCACATTAAAAACCATTACTTCAGACCATCAACCAGCTTTAAATTATTTCTTTACTTAACCCATCTCATATAGATAATTTTATAGATTTTTCAAATTAAATACTGAAACTGTTGAGCAGCTTCTCATTTCTGCCCATTTTCATTTAAAATCTGAATACGTTAGTTACTGGAACTGGATAAGAATACGTTAGATACTGGATTCGTTAGTCTCCATTGAACACTAGACCATGTAGGTGTTCGCAGATAAGCAACAACGATGGGAACCGTCATGACGTCATTAACATTACGATTCTCTTGTTAGAAAGCCCCAAATAGTGATTTTCCTAATTCTTTTTCGATTGTACGGTTAAACAGTAAATATCAAACTTAGCAAAAGTTATATCGTTTGCAATTTAACTTAGAAATCACGTCTAAATTTTGGGAATCCCTTATCAGTTTTTTTCCGTGTGCTCTTTTTATTTTGTTTAAAGAGGCACCAACGCAAAATTTCGTCCCCGAAAATTGCAAAAAGATTTTGGTTTTATGAAGTGGGGACAAAAGTTCTACCGAAAAATGGTTTTACATGCTTTGTAGCTTTTCCATGTTGCGAGAAACAAGCAAGAAAAAGCAGTATGATTGAATTTTTAGTACCCTAGTATTTTTACGGCCCGATGGTCATCAATAAATAAACAATTGATCATTTGATATCCGAAAATAATGTGAAAGCTCTCGGTAGATGAGGATTTCTCGGCACAAAGCAAGCTTCTGCCTAGCGGTAATGGCTGCTCACATCGATGAAATTAAAATGGTTGATATAACCAAGAAAGAATTAAATCAGTCAAAATAGAATTTCGAACCGCTCCCAACCGGTCTCTTCTAGGCCTACTAGGTATTAGATGCTTAACTTTCCCGTTATAAAATGAATAGAATGGTATTCAAACCTATGTATGATAGAATTATACTTCTTGCTAGCCCTCACTGGTGAGAGCTTGTCTAGAACAGAAAACATTTTTTCCTCTTTCATCCTTTTTTGTGATAGTCTTTGCTGTTCACATAACAAACTAGAACGACGAAAAATGTTTTTGGCGATAATTTTTTTGCGTTGATAACTCTTTAAACTTAAGGAACAATGCCCAGTAATTATATCATCGAAAGATAGTTTTGTTGTACAGTGCCAATGAATTCAGTTTGCCTTCAACCGTGCTTTGGAATAGAGTCATCTCTTGAATTGTACATTTAGCCAATGCTACGTTATTCTTTGCTAAGTTTGTCATAACGCTCATTTTGATGTGTTGATCTTTAGGTACTTATGAGAAAAAGTCAAGCACCAGATTCACAATTTATGCGTATCAACACAAGCATGTATGATGAAGACCTGTTTTTAGTGGTATGGGGGCCAACTGTTGCAGCTTTATCCTATGTCTACGATAATGGTATGGACAAAGCAGTTGTGCAAAAGGCTCTGACTGGCTTCAGGTAATTCACTTGTATGTGCTTGACATCATGCAACCTATGCCATTGAACGATCGTTCGTGGATACAAACACTCCTGTCTGCGTACCCATCGACTTTTCACTCACAAACACTCTTGTCCCATATCCTCTCATAGCATATCATATATCATAAATCATATATCATAAATCATATATCATAAATCATATATCATAAATCATATATCATAAATCATATATCATATCATATATCATATCATATATTACAACCAATTTTACAATTTTCAATATCTCCTAGTTAATTGCAACTAGGGCAGGAAACGATTTTGTACCTTTAAGATATTCTTTGATAACCTACTTCAGTTCAACTGGAATGATATAATGTTTTGACATTTCATGTGAATCAAGTCAAATAAGAATGGGAAAGGGTGCATTGGCTTTTCCCTATCAAATTACTGTAAATTTGTCGCAGTTCTTAAATTCCATGAACCAAACAAAAAGAAAAATAACTCAACGTCTTTCGCATGCCATTTCTCACCCAATTGGTAACAGATTCACTAGTCTAGTTCATCTTGGGGTATTTGCGTTGTTCTCTATATTGATGCGCTCCAAATTCAAAATCTGTACACATTAATGTTTATGACGTCACCAATAAACAACTCCCTTAAAGAGTATTTAGTTTCAAGTTACATACGATGCGTGGAATTTGATAACAAATTGAGTTTCTTTTACACATCCATGCTGAGAAATTTAAGAAAGATATGCATTAAAAATCTTTAAATAATGTTGTTTTTTTCTAATCTGGTCAATGGGCTTTGCTGTAATCAGCTTTATAGTAAACGAACCTCTTCAGTTGTATAGAAGTAAACAATTTTAAACCAGCATCTGTAATATCTTTAGGCTTTTCAGTTAACTATACAGGCAACAGGCAAGCAAATCCTATACCATAGTTTTCTCTCATGGTTTCCCTGGCTCGCTTTTTCCAGTTCTCCTAACTCCACAAAGTCAATTATAAACTCGATTGCTTATATTCGTTTTATCACATTACAGAGTCAAATCTTTCTAATACATTTAACATATTTTTTGAATTTAGTATTTTCAGGGCAATGTGATAAATGAATCACGCGTTTTTAAGGTTTCCACACAGTCAATACATACAGTCAGTACATGTATAGAAAATGTCATATATTAGCTAAAATGCAAGAAACTTGATGGCCAAAAGCATCAAATTCTAATTATAAAAGGGCTTTCATCTCATCATAAGCTGAAATTGCTGTGTGATGTGCTTCTATATTTTACAAAGGCGTCAGCACAATGAAGGTAATAATTCATGCCAAGGGGCTAGGACGCATACATATTCCTCGCAGAAGTATCATTGCTTTGCAAGTTGACACCTGTCGTTTCATTTATATAGGAAATAGCCATGTGTATTTGTTTAGCTGTTTGTTTTGTGTAGAATAGTCATTCATTTCCAGTAAAAATGGCTCGTATTATTTTATTTCATTAGAAAGTGCGCTGTGATATCTGCTCGATACGGTCTCAGTGAAGTTTTTGATAATCTGGTTATTTCGCTGTGTAAATTCACAACTTTGCTTACGCAAGGGGAGGTAAGGCATTTTTTATCTAATCTGATTTTATTTTTTGTCTTGTTTGCTCTAATTTGATATTCATTTCTTGTTGATATTGAGAACACTTAGCTTGTTTCAGAAGAAGCCAAAGCCAATGTTTATAAAGCAAATGTGAACAAAGACTAAGATTGCCTTTGATGTGACATCTCGCAGAAGCTCTTTTCCGTTTGAATACTCTGTTATAATAGTTATATATATATTCAAGGTATCAAGGCTCAATCGGTTATAATAATAATAATGATATTGATAATAATGATAATTTTATAATTATTTATACAGGGTTGCATTTTCAGCAATAAAGGTGCTGTTATCAATAAGGGCCAATAGATCAATAGACCTAAACTTTAAAAAGGAGTTACTTACAATCAGAATCTTGAAATTTGCAGTTGATTGTTCCAGTTCCTCTTGTTTGACGTCATTGCTCCGTTCTCCATGGAGTTATTCTTCTTTTAAGCACTCGGATCCATGCCCTGTTTAGGATCTGTATTGCTGTTAATCACACTGATTGTGGAATCTTTTACGCTTGCAGTTTTCTTATCTTTCTATCTTTTCTTTCCCGACACTTTGTGTACAATTGTTTCTTGTTTTAGAACTCGTTGTAATTACAGGTTATGTTATAGCATGCTTTACAGAAATCCCTTACTACACATTCTTTGTAAATGTTATACCGAACATCGCATTGCTAATTTCATGTTTGAAATGTATTCGATAATATATTATCAACACTAATCATTTGCAGTAAACAATGAAAGGTGAAATAGAATTTTTCACTCTTTGTTAACCCTGTGTAAACTATCAATTTTATTAGATTTGGTAGAAAAGTACATTGCAGGGATCTGTTATCCTCATTTGCAACATTTCAATTTCTTTTTGAAAATATTGTCAATTTGCCTTTTTGCTAGCCAAGTGACAACTTGCCAGTTACATTTGGGACCAACATCAAAGCCCAGCTTAGTGCCAGAACAGTGTTTTCTTTGGCCCACAAACATGGCGACATATTAAGAGAAGGATGGCAGAATCTCCTTGTCTGTATGTTGCAATTGTTCAAGACGAAATTACTGCCTAAAGTTCTCACCGAGGTAAATATTTATGGCGTTTCTACCAATAAAAGTTTTTCGGTGTGTGGTTGTTGTTGTTGTTGTTGTTGTTGTTGCTGCTTTTGTTGTCCTTTCTGTTATTGTTCTTTCTTCTGTTGATCTTTGCTCATGAAAGGCTTTCTATTTAGTTTATGCTGCTGTTGTTTGGTTTGTTTGACGTCAGTTTGATTCGATCAGCAGTCGTCGCTAGTTTCAATGCTTAACGCTCTTCTTTTCCAGTGGCTTTTAGCTTTGTTCTTTGTTATCACCACCCCTACTGTACTTTTACCCTGTTCTTTTTTCGCATTGTTTCTTTTCTTACCAGCATATTTTGCTCATCATGCCGATTTTTGTAGTTCTCTCTAATCGTTGTGTTGTAGCTATGTTGTGTTTTTCTTCAATTGCTTCGTTGCGTTTGCGTTTCTTTGTGTGATTGTGTTGTTTGTGTTGTAGAGGTTTTTCTATCTTTGTAGAGCTTCCTATTATTTTTAAGTATGCATTCGGAGGATTCATATTTTTGCATATAGATATATAAATAGATAGCTGCGGAATTTTTTCAAACATATAATTTTAGTAAGTGATCTTTCACTGGCTACCCTATTTCCACTTTTTTTATTTGCTAGGTTGAAGATTTTATTGATCAAAGCGGAAAAACAAGTCTGATTCGCGAAGAGCCCCAACCAACTGCAAGGTAAAAAAAATTTAAAAAGCATGTTTATTTATTCTTTTTGCTTACCATATTAAAAATGGTCACTAATACTTTTGCTATTGATGTACTCAAAAACCCAGACCCTTTTCCTTGACAAAAATCTGTCGCAACTATTAAGATGATCTGTAAATCTATAGCAACTACAAAGCTATCAGAAAATGGCTATATAGTTTCGTTTCTGGTTTCAGCATTTTATATTTTCTTTCTTTATTTGTCCTGTTTGGTCATCAGCTCTTTTAAAGCGGGTGAGAATGATGTTGTATTAAATAAGCCTATAAATAGGTTTATTTTGGCTTTGAAAAAACAAACATTTAGTAAACTAAAGCTTTTCATCTGACACTCTTCAGAGTTTAAATCGTCAGAACAAAGACCGAAAACTCTACGCTAGGAAATATATATACCCAATTGTGGATCGAAATAGGCCAATCAGAAACACGAGCACATGACTGTTGAAGGGACCCAAAATTTGGTTTGTAATAACAAGAGTTCGTTACATCCGGGGTCCGTTGAACCGAGAGAATTTTTAAGGAGTTTGTTAGGCAGAATCCAAGGGACCAGGCATTTAGTTCGTTATAACTGAAGGTTCGTTATTTCCGGGGTTCGTTATATCGGGATTCCACTGTAGTTCTTTTCTTAATTTGGATATAGGCCGGATGCAACGGGAATTCTATCGTCTTTCTACAACTATATTCTCGCTAACCCTGATACCTCGGCGCAGAAAGGCCAGTCAGCAGAAGACAGCAAGGCTCAAGAGCAAGCTGGAAATTGTATCAAGGTACGATGACAATTTTTATGCTAAATTATTATATTTAACTTTATAGGAATATAAATATGTTACCAGAGTAACAGCCTAATTTTTGTTTGTATTTGGAACTGTAAACAGCCCTTAGTTGTCATTGCATCCAAAATAACCACTTGATCACGCCCATAAAGAGCACCATGGGGACTTTATGCGTAAACCGCGTTCTTTAGGCAAAGCAAAAATTCAAGCGTTGAAAAAGTTTATTCAGCAGATCCCTAATATCGATGCAAAGGCATTTCAGAGTAGAACGGGGAACTCATTGTTTGATAAAACCCGGTTTAGCTAATTTCATCGGAATAATTCTGCTGTTTCAAGATTTTTAGAGTAAATTTTACTTAAAGAATTGTAAAAAATTTTTTTGTACCAAGACTCGCAAATTATATGCTTATATCTATGCTGTCAGCATGACGCTTTTTAACAAGAATTCCAACATGTTCATGAAACCAGACTGCTGTGCAAAGAATTAGTGGTTCCAGGCTGATAAAGGCAATCTATAGCTACTAAAGTGGCTTAAAGGCAATCTGTCATGACGTTGATTGATTATAAGAACAAAGGGATTTTTTATTGTTCCCAGTCCCCCTTTAATTTATCGCATTGTAAAAAATATGGCGGAGCGCTGGAATCGTGTCTAGGCTATTGTTCCAGCTATTGTTCTCGTTAACCAATCCACAACGAGGCAGATGGCTTTTAAGCTTTCTGTCAATCAACTATTGGCCAATCAATAAACGTGTAATTAGTATCAAGCTTATTGATTGGGTCATTTTGATTGACGGATGGGTTAAGTCTATAGTATCTGTCGATTGCGCTAAACATAATTCGGTTGCTTGCCGTGAAAGACAACTATGCGATAACTGCTTATTGTATCAAAGTCATTATTTCCCTGTATTTTCTTCCAGGATTGTCACCCAGAGCTTTTGATCACAGAAAGCAAATTTTTGCGAGGAGAATCTTTGCATGAACTTGTGAAGGTTAGTTTTGTGTAAACAGTATAAAGTTTGATTCATATAGCATTTAATCAACTGTAATTTTAAGATTACGGTAAACGTTTTTGACTCGTTATTTGGTATTCTCTTCCTAAAAGCCAAACTATTTCTCAGTTTTTTAAAACTTATATTGTTTTAAACATGGTATCATTGTGTGCCTTGATAGTCCAGCTACCAGAATCTGAAGAAATCGAAAAATGGATGTTTTCATCCAGAAAATGTTTACCGTAACCTTAAAGGACTACAGAATGGTTGAAGAACAGTAAATCAATAATTGAATTCGATAACCATCCCCTTTGCACTCAAAATTCTTACCTTGTAATAATCGTCCTTCAAGTTTTGTAATCCGAAAAAAACTTCAAAAACAGGCTTGATTTTTCTTATAGCTCGATATGTCAGTGTTAGGCAAAATCTATGGCATTTTATCGATTCAGTTTTACACTATTTTTCGTTGCTTTGAAGGCATTGGTATTCTCTTCGAAGCCTGAAGGAAGCATTGATTCGAACGAGTCGCCTTTTGATGAAGATGCTGCCGCTTTTTTCTTGGAATTCCTTATCAGGGTGGCATTACAAAACAAGTATGTTGATTTTTGTTTTATTTTAATTTATTTTCTCCACAAGACAGAACAATGTTTGTCGCTGTTATCTTTATGGTTTGCACCACGCTGGCAAAAATAATGCATTTTGGATTTATAGTGACATTTGAAGTATTGGATTGCCAGACCTCTTCTTCTACTTAAGTGTAAGGCCTGTTGCAGGCACCGGCGGTCATTGCAAGGCGACTGTAAATATTTCCAATAGAATAAAAGTTGGATAGCAAGGCACAAACGAGAGCCAACAAAATATATTTTTTTCTTTGATCAAGTCAGTGTAAGCACAATTAACCCAGCGGAATTTGATAACAGACCTCAGTTATTATTTTCCTGGCCTGGCCCCATATTATTTTTATAAGGGACTGGGTACGAGATTGATGCCGCTGCTTTACAGATATTGTTAGAATCGTTAAAGACACAGCTTGAACCCAGTCCTTGTTTGCTTCACGCCCTAACACGCGCTATTTCATCTACTTTAGTACTTATCCGTAGTTAAATTACGGGTTTTGTTATTTTTATAGTAATGCTTTGTATACATTTGAATAATAATGGGCAATCTTTGTACAACTCTACATAGACACAACAATGATCTTCAATTGATCTTCAACTGTTGCTTCGTTTTTAGAGACAGGATATCAGTGCTGTGGCAAACTGTCCGCGATCACCTAACAAGTATTATCATTTCTGCACAAAAATACAGGTACAATTCGCTTCAAGAATTTTGCTATTTTTAAATGTGTGTGTTACCTGTGTTCTTAACTGGAAGCAATGTTCTTTAAGATAATGAACATGATGCTCAATAGACATCCATTCCACAAGATACAATCATATAAGTATGTTTACGTTTTGGCGTATAGAACAGGTAGGTCCTAAGTTATAACTCTTAAATTTCTTGTTTGATGCGAACAAAAGCATATATAGCTCTGCGTATACGACATCGAACGCCATATGAAAGTCTGGTAAAAATTTAAGTTCCATATAAATATTAATAGATCAACAAAAGTATCAATTTTCGCTTTATGTGAGTTTTACAGGATTTAAGAAATAATTCTGAGAGAAAATTCAAGCTCAGTTTGGATTGCAACGACGGTCAATGCCACGCGTCGAGTCCTGCTTTGGTCATTTCATTCTCTCATGTTTTCTTCTTGCGTCGAGTTTTTTTTATCTAAGTCTCAGTTTTCGATTTATTTTTACTTATAAGAATCAATTATTTCTAGACTGTATTTGCTCTTAGCGAAATTCCTTGTAAATTTCATGAGTACCAAAAAAATTGTAAGTGGCGTGGAACTAAAACCTGGTAAAAATAGGATGAATTTAGCAGTCCTATTTTACCCTAATTCACATCTGAGTCTGTACGTCGTTTCTTGCTTGACGAGTGTCCCTTTTTCACAGCTTCTTGGTCGAGCGGGCTGTTGTTGGATTGCTGCGTCTTGCCATTCGACTTATCCGCCGTGAAGATATATCAAGCCAGGTCCTTGTGACTTTGCGTGTGCTTCTGATGATGAAATCAAACGTCCTCTGTTCATGCTGCCGCCAAATTGCATACGGTGTCCACGAACTGATACGAACGAATGCCAATAATATACACTTATCACGTGACTGGGTGACGATTCTCACCCTTCTTGAGGTAGCAGGGGCTGGTGCACCTGCACCCATTGTTAAGCCAGGCCCATCGTTAACAATGGTACATGGTGAGCGACCAGTGGTAGAGCAGGAACAAATCGAAGAAGAGACAGGCGAGAAGACGTTTCGTCCAATTAGAGCAGACTCTCCTGTTTTAGATGAAGACTCAGCAAAGCCTGAAGCAACCGGCGAGACATGGCTACTCATCAACAAGGAAGAGCAGTCTGGAGTGCCTGTGAATCAGTATGACCTTGCATTCGGTGAAAGTCTAAACAAGCACGATAGTCGTGCGTTTATTAAAGCATCTGGAACAATAGGTTTCATTGTTCGCGATGCCGCCCACGTGACACGTGGAAACATTCTACAGTGCATACATACTTCACTGATATTTGCAGAAGCCAGTGCTAACGGTGGTGTGGCATTAAGAAAGGAAGAATTGTCATCCAAAGAGCACGGAAATGTCAAGCACCAGCAACCGCCGAAAGGTAATTTCAGGACTTCAATACTAAAGTTATTTAAAAGCAGCTTTGGCTGGCTACTTGGTACCATTAGGTCGAGTTATTGCCGAACGAGCTCCGCAAATTTACAGCTTTCTCCTCTTTCTTCTATTTTTATGCACATCTTCATGTTATCATATACACTTAACCTCCAAAGGAAAGCTTTTTTTGTTGGAAGAAAGCAGAAATTCTCTTCATTTTAAAGAGCATATATAGATAAACTTTAGGGATTGCTCCCTTTTTTCGTTGCTGGCAACGTTCAACTCTCAATAATGTTAAGGATTAAGTGGTTACGCGGCGTAACTTACGCCATTGATGTAGTTACGCTGACCTGATTTTCCTTTTGTATATAAAGTTTTATTTTTTGATCCTTGTCACGTCCGAAGTTTACGCTTTGAATTAGGTTTGAAGAAAATGAAGAAAAAACACACCAGCCCGAAGTCATCTCGTGGGAAGGGACGTTCTGGAGGCCCAGGGTCACCAGTGAGTGAAGACGATGCAGAAATAAGTGAAAACACAAGCAATATTTATGATGCCATTTCACTGCAGCTCCTGGATCTAATGTATGTGTTGCATACAAAAGCATCAAGGATATTGGCAAATGTTGATTGGCATGAATTTGAGGAGAGCCAAAAGCAAGAAGTCAGAATGAGATGGAACAGTGTGGAAAGTGTCGACCGATTACCAAGCACGTTTACTGGTAAACCTTAGATAGTTTTCTTCTTACTGCATTGAAACAATCTTCACTTCCTTTACTCCCATCTTCCGTCACTGTGAAGAAGAGCTTAGAACCTTAAAGGAGAACTGACACGCAAAAATAACTTTGGCTTATTCGATGCAAAATTTGTCGCTGACTTCAAATCTGGAAAAAGTTTTCTTCTTAGATTCGCCGTTTTTCTGATATTTGCACTTTTATCCGTCAAATACGTCACAGCCAGGACTCGGGAATTTCCCGAAGCGGAAACAAGATTATCGCCAGGAGTTGTTAAAATTCTCGGTTGACGTCACAAGTGACATGTTAACAATGCCGTTGTAAAGGCTTTCACCGCAACGGTGAAAGTACAAGTGAAGTTTCGTGTTTTATTGAAAATATTCCGCGGTGAAAAGACAAAAAATTGTCAGGCATTTCATTTATAAGTATATAGAAGCTAGAAAATCCTAGCTACATGTCTGCTAAGACGCTTATATCCACATAAAATTTATTTTCATGCCATGATATCTTCGAACCAGCATGCTTTGAAACATTGAAAGAACCTCTAAGCTTGTGAAAAAAGGAATCGACTTTGTTTGAAAACTGATACCGTTTCTTCAAAGTTTTTATTTTTACAATTACAAAAAAATCGCAACATGGGGGGTGGGGGGACGGGGTCGAAGCAGTAGCCAAAAGACAAACGAAATCTAGTGGAGACGGCGGTAAAAGCGATCCTGCAACCTGCTTTGGGTGCAGAAATATGAATTCAAGAAAAAACCTTGGTTGATGGGAGCTGCGAGTGTGACTAAATAATAATTTCACTGAATATTGATTATTGTATTTTAACAGAGGTTGAGATACTAGGGAATAACCTAGTCTTGCAAAAAGACCATCCCCCACCCAAGTCAAAATTACTTGCAAAAGAATATAATGCGCCAGTTGATATTCCTATGACATCTTAACAGCATTTTCTTCGACTAAGAAATCAAGTTCTTTGACTAAGAGCTAAGAGCCTATTTCGTAAATCCAGATCTTTCGACTGCCAGGTAACTTATCAGTTCCCGAAACCCTTCACGCCCGGTGAAAATGGCATAAAATCCGCACAAGTCGAATTTTAACCCGCCTTTACTATTCAATATCACTATACAGTTAACGCGTTTAAAACATTGAAAAACAATCATAGAATGTTATATTAACAATAAATAACTTGCAGTTCCGTTTAGGTCATCATAGGCATTTCAGCGAATTAGGCCATACAGACAAAGCAGTCTGGACAAAGACGCCTCAATCTGAAATGAAATTCTAGTTTTACGATACCTGATCTCATTTAGATTGTAGCAATAGCAATGTTTTTAATAGAAATTCCATATCAGTTTGTACTTCCAGTCTGTTCTTTGTTTATAATATCGTCACTGTTGAGCCATGGGACGACTGTCTGCCCAAGCGGCAGCGCTGGTTGGTAGCAAAAACTCAGACGGCTGAAACTCTCCATTTGTTTCGAAATCAGTGTAATAAAACTCCGATTCAGAGTCCCAAACCATTGAAAAAGTCAATTATGTGTCAAAAATGCAAAATTGGCTCCTTTCACATGCACAAAATAAACATTTGTCCGCAGCATTTTGTTAAAGGTTTCTATAGAGAAACACAATACGTGCTGAGAACATGTCACTTGTGACGTCAAAGATGATCTTCCACTCGTGACGATTTTCGCCTCGAGTCTCAAGTTGTCGGAACAATTGTCGTTTCTCAACTTAAAACGCCTGTATTTCAAAAACGGTAACTGTAATTTGAAAAAATTTTTCGATCCTGGAATTTGCTTGTCACAAACTACCGTTTTAGCCAAACTTATTTTTGCGTGTCAGTTCTCCTTTAATACCTTTTTATTTGGGCACTTCACTAGGTCATTTGTTGATAATCTCTTGACAATGCTGAAAAGAAATTCACTTGAATTGAATGGGTATTTCGTAACGGCTTGATTTTATCTTTCAATGATATCGAAGGTACCTTTATGTAATTAAGTATGGGCACGATCAATGAAATAGCGATTTCATAAATACGAACATGTACAATGCGAAGGATCATTTACTTAGCAACGGGTTGCTTCTAGCGTAACATATACGCTTACATCGGCATGTTTTTTTCAAGTATCTAGTGGACCATTGTATCATGTTCTCGTTCAGTTCAAAACTCAACAACCGTTCAGAAGAGAATATCCATTGCATTTTTTATTTTCTTGGTATTTTTTCCTTAAGGTTTTTCCTAATATTTCCTTCCGCTATTTCCAGCGATCTTAATCCACTTGAATCTATTTTATTTGTAAAATGTTTTGCTCTAACCAACAAAGATTGAATATGGTTTTGAAAAAAGATGGAAAATATATATCCAGCTGTGGATCAAAATAGGCCAATTAGAACCTATTCTATACCGTTCAAGGCCAACTAGGCAAATAGGCCAACTATGCCTGTCATGTGCTCGCATTATTCTGATATGTCTATTTCCATCTGGGTATATTTTGTCCATCTTGTTCTTTCGAAACCTTATTCTGAAGTTTTGCACTCTGGGGAGTGTCAGACGAAAAAGCTTTAAGTATGCGGTAAAATTTTTGCTTTTCCAAAGTCGTTTTCAAATAGCAGTGCACGAAGGTATGCAGAGAAATCTTTGTTGTTAGTCATCAGACTGTTTTGTCAAAGTATTTCAAGCGGGAAGTAAAGATTTACAATATTACATTATCATCAAGATCAAACCAAAACTCATAAGATTTCAAATGAGGAAACAATGATTGTTGTCACCAACCAGATCAAGCATTTATTTTGCCGATATCAAATAAGTGCCGTTCATCCAGTCTTAATGCAAGACTAAAAACACAAAATTGAAAATATTCAAGAAAATCTGGTTTTGCATTTTTGTTTTGGCTTTAGTTTTATGTATCGGGAAAATATTGTTAGATACTGATTATCGATTATTAAGTATTATAAGTATTACAAGTATATTAAATTGTAAGTTCGTTACACATTTGCTCAACCGAATTTCAAGTCTGGGCAATGAATTTAAAAATAATAATGAGATGGAAACGAAGCCTCGTCGTCAATTTTAGAAGACTAAAAGCTTTTTACATTTTATTTTAGACTTTTTGATCTTGATTGAGTTTGTTTTCTCTCTACAGGTGATGCCAACTTTGGTATGAGTTTACTGTGGATTAAATGTTGGTGTCCAATTCTTCAAGGCATTGCTAGACTTTGTTGTGACGATCGGAAAGAAATCCGAATGTCTGCTTTGACCATACTTCAAAGGTCGCTTCTTGCCGAGGATTTGCAATCACTGAGTGCCACTGAATGGGAAAACTGTTTCAATAAGGTATTGGACCGAATACTATAATCAAATTACCTTAAATTGGAGCGTATTCTATGCTATCACAGGTCTAATCTATTTTTTGCAATGGTTATTGAATAGTAGTTTTTGCTATCTTGCCTGGTCGTTAACTTTGAATATCCTTCAATAGGTCCTGTTTCCAATGCTGGCAAGACTTCTTGAAGTGCCATCAGAAGTTGATCCAATTGGACTAGAAGAAACGAGGATGAGAGCTGCCACATTGCTATGCAAGGTATTTGCTTTAGTCAATCAATATTCTAGTTTTTTTATCAATATTTCAATTCTTATAAACTAGTATAAGTGGCAACTTAGGACCGTCCTACTCTATACACCAGAGCTTGAACAGTTATACCTCACGGCATCGAGCACTTTATGACAGATTGGTAAACGAGTAGTCTTCGTCAAACCTAGTAGAGAGGTTTCTTGCTCAACTGGACTTTGTGGACTCTTCTGTTTATCAAACACCTTGATTATTCCCTTCTTTTAACAATGACAATTTTATTGAATCCATATCTGGTTAAGAATTTAACTTTTCCCATTCTGTCATTACACTAATGTTTCACAACCTGAGCAGATAAACAACTTTACAGTTTTACGATAATGATATTTTATAAAATCCTTGTTTCCCTTTCTGCTATTTTTCTGATGTTCAAAATCTTTACCTATTATTTCAATATATTTTTTATCCGCGCCTTGATATGGATTTTTCGTTCTCCTTGTGGTCTCTAACTGACGTGTCTCACGAAATTATCTCGGTATAGACTATACTGTTTCTGCTTTTTCGTGCTTATAGTAAATTCGTAATTGTTAAACAGTAATTTTTGAGGGTCAACATTATGTTGCAACTGTGGACTATAGGACCTTCAGGCACCTGCTCGTGGTACCAAAATAATGCTCGAATCTGACACAAATCAAATCTTGTATGGGCACCCTGCATTGAACCTCCCTTTTGTGCATGATCTCGACTTGTTTTGCAAAACATCAGCACCAGGTTCGCCTATGACGTTGATATTTATGCATCTAATCAGTGGAGAAGTGTCTCTCTTTGGTTGCTTGCTTTAATATACCACATGTCTGTTATACGGTAATGGTATACAATATAGCAAATATATTACAGACCGTTCAGTATTCCTGAAACATTCTTTATTGAATAATATTTTCGTAAAATTTGTTTTCAGGCCTTTTTGAAGCTGCTCAACATTTTGCTGACCCTATCGACATTTACAGCTCTTTGGATGACAATTTTGGATTTCATGGATCGCTACATGAAAGCAGATAGCAGCGATCTTTTGGTAAGTAACTTGCCTTTCTAAATTGGCAGCATCTTTTGTTATCCAGATATCAGCGTACTATACCTTCAGGTTCATACATTTATGTATCCAGGCACTCTCATCCCTGTTTAAAGACTCATTGCTAACAATGGGCCTTTGCGAGTGTGGATACGATCCAAACAATGGCAGTAAACTTCTACGGATTTACCAAAATTGATTTCAGACTGTCTAAAAATGCATTATGGGATGCTTGCAGAGCGCAATGGCTCATTGTTAGCAATGAGTCTTTAATGAAAGCTCAATAGATACATGAGTATACTTTTTCTCTCAATGCGTTATGCCCATTGCTTAACATGTTTAAAGACTACTATGGTTATCATGGCCCTCAATAGGCAATACAGGCCCTTGCGGAAGGTTGGTATAAGAATTTTGAGTGTACCATTGTTTTGCTTGTATTATTAGTGAATCTGTTGTCGTATATTTCTCGCTAACCATTTTATTAAACTGTTACCACAAGATATCAATACAGAATGCGAGTGCACGTTGTCTGTGATTGACCACTCCACGAAAAAAAGTTTTCTGCTTTGAAATAAAGTTTGGTTATTTGCTAAAACTAAAGTCACCTTTAGCCCCTTGATCACTCAAATAAGAATAATTTTAATCCTCGCCTCTAAGAGTTTGCGAATATGCTAATTCACGAATGTTTTCGAAGTACATGAAAATTTTCTTATTCAGATTCAAGTCTCCTTTGATGAAGTTGTATTATTTTCTTATACTTTGCAGTCTGAGGCTATCCCAGAATCCATGAAGAACATGCTACTGGTTATGTCGACATCGGGGGTATTTGATCACAGCGAGGACGATCAGACGCTACAACTCACTCACAAAGCTCACGAACAGCACGAGCAAGATGCCAAGCGGCATTATTCAGCACTGTGGCAAGTCACATGGGAACGAATCGACTGCTTTTTGCCAAACCTGAGGCGTGATATGCTTGCCTCTAGTTCGCCATTTGCCCAACGGGCTTCGTCGCCGCCGATTTATCCTGAACCAGAGGCGCAGACGATGGAAACCGAGGGACGGCCAGTATCTGAGGATGAGTCGTCAAAGATCGCGTCTCAAGAGCAAGGTATGGTTATGATTATGATGATGGTTTAAATTGCATTTGTCATCTCCTTACGAATAGGCGAATTATGATTGTTTGTTATCTAATTACCACCTTTACAGATAGAAACGTTTGTAAAACCTGCCTCTTGCTGTATTAGGGCAACAAGGTGAGATAGTTGATGACTACGAAGACGTTGATTTTATCAATAGAATAGAAGGGAACAGAACATATAGCTGCACAGAAGGCGAAGTGTGCTGAGCCATGTTCAAAGCTCTCGATAAAATGATCACATAGACTGATTTGATATGTCATTAGATATACAAATAAACTTTCAAAATTCACCTGTGGAAACATTGAAAGTGCGCCTTGCTTTGAACCATACGGTAATTTCCTAGGTCTAGCAAATACAAATACTTTTTAACAAACTTTTTCATTGATAGCTGAGAAAAAGATCGTTGAACCTGAAGCTGCCAGTCAGACAGAATCAACTGGAAACCAGAGAGCTCAATCGCCCACCCACGTGTCCCTCGATTCAACCCACCAACCCTCTAACATTGTTTTGCATTCGCCTTTGCCCGCGCCACAGAGCAGGCAATTTATGTTATCATCTGGCCCGCAAGCCCCCGGCATGCCGATTATTCTTGCTCCTAGACCACTTAGTAACCAAGAAGCGACAAAAGAGTTACGTACTGTTGAAAGGCCTGAATCCCTACCGCTGGAAGTTGCCACTACCGATATAACATCCAATGTTCCTGTGGAAGACACTGCTGAAAATAAATCCGAGGAGGAAGAAAAGAAAAAGGTCTTACAGGACAAAATGCCT